TCATCTCTTCACTCAGGTCCAAGTTTTTAGTTTGAAAAAATTATGTAAAAAAAACCCAAAAATCTCATTGGTTCAAATATGAGCCACCAGCAGGTGGGAGGCAAAACCTGTGGTGTGCAGCCCGTGGAGCGGCCCTCTAGTGGTGTGTACAGTCAACACAGACCATTTCCGTCCAACGGCGACAGTTGAACGCCTCGTCGAGCGGCCATGTTTGTTTTCAACTCTGAATCTGCTGAGGAGGCGAAACCAGGGGGGCGGGGAGGGGCTCGGGGCCGCTGTGGGAAAATACCAGCTCCGGTACTGCACATGTACTGCAGTACTGGGACGTGGAGTTGGTTCTCAAACGTTTCACACAAGGTACAGCCACACAAAGTATTTGTCCCTTTACAACAGTACCGTCCCACACAACAGAGGTTCCAGAGAACTGGTACTGGTCCTGGTCCTAGTACTGGTACTGGTACTGGTCCTAGTACTGGTACTGGTACTCAAAGTCATATAGTCCGACAGCCCCTGGTCCAGGGTTCTGTCGCGTGTACCCGTGATATTCTTCCCACTTTCCACTTCTCCTTTCAACAGTTCCAGGTTGGTGACGCCGGTACCGTTTCTGACTCTGGTTTCATTCACTTCCACTGTCGTGACAACGCAACCCAAGGTTTGAGAACCACTCCAACAGTCCCACAGTAACAGTTCTGTCCTCTGCAGCTGAGCTAACCGTCTGTGGTTCAGCCTTCAGTGGCTCTTATCGTCGGGAACCACCACTTTGACAGTTAGAGGGCGCCGTGGTATTTTTAGGTCCTGTTTAACAACTGTGTGGAAATGTTACCGACAAAACGTAACAGGTTCAAGGACTGATGGGAACTGAGGATCTGTCTGTGTGTTCTCACGTATATATGTACCGTATATATATATATATATGTATGTTTTTATATATTTACATATAACAGTGCATACATTTCCCAAAGAGAACTCCTGAGGAATTAATACAATTCAATCTATCTCTATATACACACATATACACATATATGTACATATACATACACATACATAAATATATATGATATAAATGCATGTATATACGTACAGTACATATATGTATGTATGAATATATATTTACATACATATATATTAATACATATATACACATACATGCATATGCCAAAAATATACATCAGACATATATATACAGAAATATATGTTGCCTTATTTTTATAAAAAAAAATTTATATATATATTCAAAATGTACTATCCAAGAATAATAAATGAAGGATTGAAGAACTGAGTAACGAGGAAGTACTACTGCAGGTGAGTACAAAGTAGGACACAACAGAAGTAAAACAACAAATATATATATATATATATGCTGTTGTTGATACCAGGTGGTCTGTGACCTCTGGTCCAGTCCTGGACCATGGAGGACCATGTGCAGACACACACAGCACAGAGACGACGGTAAAGTTCCAGATCTGACATTCCACTGACCACAAGGCCGAGGGATTAGGCCCTTCACAATGAGGAAGCAGACGTGGAAACACGTGGGTGGGTGTCATGGTCAGAGGGCGAGTCAGGGTCAGAGCCCCCTAGTGGTGAGGCTCAGAACCTCTCAGTCTGCTGCACTCATTTGTGAACAGCACTAATCACTCAGTCATCAGGCCTCACGTCACGTGTTCACATCTTAACTCCCTCCATCAGTGGGCCTCTGAGGACACGCTGTGGTCAAAAGAGGAACTGCATCGTTAAAGGATGAAATTTGACATTTTATTACTTTCTTTTGTGTACTACACAGTACATAAAAGACATCAAACAGAAACAGGAACCAAAGGGCACGTTTGAACCTACGTTTACTGCACTTTAAGAGATTCGTTTTTTTATTTTATTTATTTAAACCACAAATCCTTGAGTGTCTCGTTTGTCTTATTACACCAATAATCCACTGACGGTAAAATTATTTTCCTTTTTAAAAGCTATAAGAGTGACTTCACAAATATTATTTTATACAATCTCCAAGCTGTGGTTCTCAGTGAATAAGTGTACGTACGCTAACTGTGAAGAACGACGGCATCAGTGTCTATGATCGGAATCACCTGTCAGAACTACCATGATTGGTCAGGGAAAAAAAAAAAAAAAAATCTTATTTTGATCGGTTTAACCTAAACGTTAACCTGGAAATATTGATCTGGACCCAATGAAAAAAGAGCATGTGTAAATATTTACAACAAAGTGGAAAAAAAACAACAAAATAAACTCACGCGCACACACACGTCATTCATCCGTCAAATAGTAACATCTTCAAGCATGTCTGCGTAGAAGGCAACACAATAAATAAAAAGAAATGGCACAGAAGGTTCTGGACAGTCTAAAGTGAGAAGAACCAGGTCTTCTAAAATATTCACAGGAACCTAAATACTAAAAAAAAAACAACAACAAACAAACAAACAAACAAGGCCAAGCACAGGAGAAGGTCAGAGCAGACGGCGACAGAGGCCGAGAACAGAGAGGAACTAAAGTCACAACAACGGTTACAGCGGCAGGAAGAAGAAGAAGAAGACATTTATATTTCAATATAGTATTTGTATTTACAAGCATTTTTACAACTGGGGACATAAAATGGCGGCGGGGGGGCTGGTGGGGCCGGGGGGGGTCAAGCGTGTTCCTACATCAGGAAGTGGAGCAGAACAATCAGATGGTTTAATGCACTAAATCCAAACATCGTCAACGCCACGTCGCACCTTCGTCCTACATCTCAGTCAGATTATTTCGCCGAGTGAGGAAAGTTTCTGTCCTTACTTTAAGGCATAGGTAGATGGCGCCGAAGAGCTCGAGTAAGATTTCATTTATTTTTTTATTTAAATACGGCAGATTTACTCAGAAGGCTTCGCCCTAACGAGGAATAACTTATGCGTCGCAGAAAAAAAAA